GTTAAGAAGACATAAGTAAGTTACAGATGGAATTAGATGGGTTGAGTGAATGGGCTAAAATCTGGCAGATAGAGTATAATGTGGGAAAATGTGAAGTCATTCACTTCGGCAGGAAAAATTTTAAAAAAAAGAGTAATACTTAAGCAGAGAATGATAGTAGAATCTTAAGATACAAGGGGGATTTGGATGTTCTAGTAGGTGAGTTAGTTTGAAGTTAGTATGCATGTACACCATGAAATCAGAACGCTAATGTGATTCTGTACTTTATTCTGAAAGGAATTGAACATAAAAGTAAATGCCATGCTTGGTGAGTCCATATCTCAAAACCGTGTCCGTTTTGGTCTCCTTTTTTAAGGCAGGATGTAAGTGCATTGGAGGTAGTTCAAAGTGGTTTGTTAGACTGATATCTGGAATGAGTGGCTTGTCTCACAAGGATAGTTTGGACAAGCTGGGCTTATTCCCACTGGAGTTTAAAAAAGTGAGTGGTAACTTGATTTTAGTGTATAAGATCCTGAATGGTCTTGACAAGGTGCATGTTGACAGTATGTTTGTTCTTGTGGGTGAATCCAGACTGGGGGCACTATTTTAAAATTGGAGTTTGTCCTTTCATGGCAGAGAGGAGGAGAATTTGTTTTGTCTCAGAGGATGTGTGACTTTAGAATTCTCTGCTTCAGAAGGGGGTGGAGACATGGTCATTTAATATTTTTAAGGCAGTAGTAAATAGATTCTTCTTAGGCAAGGGAATCAAGGATCATTGAGGAAAATTAGAAATGTGGAGTTCAAAACACATGAAGATCAGCCATGATCTTACTGAATGCTGGAGCAGGTTCAAAGTGCTGAATAGGCCATTTCTGCTCATATTTCATATGATCAAACATTGCACTTCTTCAAATAAGCCTTTGCTGAAGATTGAAGTTATTTTTCTCTGAAAATATCAAACTCACATTTACATAAAATGAAGAACTGCTGATGCTGGAGATCTGAAACAAACAAAATCAGAAATTGTTGGAGAAACTCAGCTGGTCTGGCAGCATCTGTGGAGAGAAAACAAAGTTAATATTTTGAGTCCTATAATCCTCTTCACTTCTGTCTTCTCTCCACAGATGCTGCCAGACTTGCTGAGTTTCTCCAATTTACATTGACATTCTGTCTGCATGATTTCAAATATTAATTTCATCCAATTGAATTTTGCCAGTACAGATGTGCTACCTTCCCCCTGACTGAAGTTTCAATGGTCTTGCATTTATTTTGAAGTCCTCACATGTTTTCCTTGTATGACTGAAGATCTCTTTCTAAGTCCATGTTATTTCTTAGAGTTTACAGTCACTTTTCTGGCTGGAGAATTTTTAAAAAATCTTTACTTGCTTTCATTAGCAATTATGCTAATATATGACTATCTATATGACTCTGAACTGGCCTCTGGGCAGTTCAGGATAGGAAATAAATGCTGCCTAGCCAGTGACACCCTTATCCTGTGAATGAATAAATGAATAAAGGATCAGGTTACTTCCTTGCTTCTTACTCGTGGTCCGGCCTTCCATTGTAAAAGGATTTCTTCATCTAACCATCACTGTCACTGTGTCATCTTGACAGGCTTTGTACAATATGTCAACAATTTCATTTCTTCTTAGTTTTCTTCAAAAGGGACAATGGGGTTTTTGGACAGTGATGCCCTGAATCCAATTGTCCAGAAAAAATATTGAAGTTTCTGGGATAAATGAATGACGAATGCACTGGTTTATTTCTCAGTAATTATATTCTGAAAATGTAAAATATTCTACCCTCTTGCACTGTTTGGACGAAAATATCTTCAGGCTATTTAATCTCTTTCCTTTTGCAACAAAGTATAGCATTCACCTGGTGTCTAACTTTGATTCTTGTATTTCCTCAGTCCCAAAGTTGAATGGACAGCAGTTTTAGGATTATTGGCCTTAACCTTGCTAGCATTCTGTTATGACTTGTCCCTGGGTGAGGCTTCCTAATTTGTCACAGTTCCAGGTGAGATACCTTAAAGTGTTAATCTCCCAAGAGTGGAAAGATAAGCCAGCTCCCCTTGATTATTCACCACCCTCTTGCTTGGTTACAACAAAGTTAATTTTAAGTGGATTCCATTTATCTTGTGGATACTTTTCTTCCACACCCAAATGAGCTGTCGTTTTAAAAGTAGCCAGTTTAGCCAGGCCTTTTTGAAAGAACAAAGTTAGTTGATTAACCACTAAATCCAAGAAGAAATAATAATGCAACACACATACACATGACTTAGCAATGACGTGGGTCTAAAAAGATAAAAGTTTAAAAAATGGAACAGTGGATGGTTGAACATTATGGCTATTGCAATGCATGTCACTGATAATGTTGACACTGATAGTTCAGTGTTTAGTTTTGAGATTTTTATTTTTGTAGATTGGCTGAAACTCTTTTGTCCTGATTCCTCTTAGCAGTACTGACTGACAGTACTCAGAGTGAAATGATTTTACCTGCACTGCAGGGATGTTTAACTGGCTATTGTCAAAGCAGTAACACTCACAGCACACTAGTCCACATATTTAGGACACAACCAGAGTTGAAACATGCATTTAATCCCTGTCTCTCTGTATTCTTGAAAGGGGGAAAGGGCTAATATGTCTCTTGCCTAGACTACTGTCATTTTTTACCGTAGTGTTTATAATCTGAGATACTCCCAGTTCAGTTTGTATTGAATTTTCTCCCTTTGAAAGTTCATTGACTCCTTGCCAGTTGTGATATTCCAGAGTATCTCTCGCTTCAGGCAGTCATGGAATTTACATCTACAGCCAACGTTTGGCTATTGTCCTTTTATTAAAAATGTCCAATATGTCCATAAGTGATCCTTTTATATATATATGTGGTTTATAATGCATGGTCATGACAATCCAAAAGGAGAATTTACATTTACCATTTACTCTGGTATTTAATTTGAGATTACTCTCTCTTTGCTTCAATTTCTCCAAAATCTGTCCTGTGGATCTGTGCCATCAAGGAAGTTGAATTCTTGCTGTGGGCCTATCTTATTCCCCAGGAACAATTCATCCTGCCATGCTACTCCCCTAATGCTGGGACTGCTGAAAATTGCTGTGGTCTGTGTTTAACATTTTGACATGCAGCCTTATCCTGGCTTCTCTCTTTGCATTCATGATTCTGTATTAAACTGGCTGGGTTTGGTTTGAATTGGTAGAGTTCTTTCATGACTTGGACCGTGCTCTGTCTGGCAATATACCAGCTCAAATTCCTCCTCATCATCACAATTCAGTGATCCATGGTGAAAAGTATGGACAGTAACTAAGTCTTGAATATAAAGGCAGGTACGGTCAAATAATCTGCTTGGCATGTTACAAATACCCATCTCGTGGAGTGCAGAAAATCACTAACCTACAGGATAGGAAGGAAGAAACTTGCAATGTGGGTGAAGAAACATACTTTAAATTGTGCATTATGTTTAATATTTAGGAATTAATATCCAAAAGCCAGCTTGTTTAATTGGATATATACATATTACACTGGTGAGAGCATGTATTTGGAGATGATGTCAAATATTGAAGTAAAGAAATGGTTTGTGTTTTTGAATATCATGCACGGCATTGTAACTCGGCTGGACCTACAGTCCAGTACCAGCAGATTTGGAGGGCTGGCTGTCCCATTGCAAACCTGTCAGCCCCTAGCCCCCTCCTGTCTGAGATTTTATGAAGACAGGGTAGATTTCAGGTGTCTCATCTGCCCTTGGGCCTACTGGGGCCTTTCAGCGGGTCTTTCTGCTCCATCCACTATTTTAGCTGACCATACCAAATGCTTGGCCGAATAGACGTAGTTGTGCAGGCTGATGATGGGCAAAAGTGGTAGCACCTCCTTTGTAGGTCTCTTGTGCTGCCACGTTCAAACTTCTTCCTTTACATTGCTCTCTATCTCTCAAACCCCAACCCCTAACCCCTCTTCACCCTGTGACAGCCTGACTGGAAAGAAATTCCCTTCTCACTTACCTTGGTGTATAGCTTCAGTGACAATCTCCATTAGGGAACCACCTGTAGTCCCAACAGTTGCCATTGCTCTCAGTTGGCATTGCTGGACATATCCAATTGGATGGCAGCTCTCTGAAACTGGCTTTTCTATCCCAGAGGGGCAAAAATCTCACCTCCATCCCGTTAATGACTAATTTGCTGTTAAATAACACAGGAACAGCTTTCTTCCCCTGGGTTGTCTTTCTCGTTGACTTTTCATTTTAGGGAGTGGCAGAAGGTAGGGTATCCAGTGTTTAAAATAAAGGTTTCAAAAGAAATGAGACATTTGCCTTTGTACAAAGCAGATGCAAGTTAGTTTCTAATTCAGACGGAAATATTCGCATTGGAATTTGGCAATAGCAGAGGTATTAATAAATTCTGCTCTAAAACATGGCCAATATTCCATGTTGTTGTAAAGCCCTGATAAAAGTTTTAGTATTGTACGTGTACTTGACAGATGTTTAATTTTGGCTTTTACCACTGCAGTCATTAATCTGCCTTCTCTGCCATTAAGCTACACCATTGTCCCTCATCAATGACTAAGGTTTTTATTATCGAGGAATTGTGAATGGAGGAAAAATGTAATGTCATTGGATATATTTGTTGGCAAGACAGTTAGGAGATGGCAGGTTTTGAGGTTTTATTTTAAACACATACATTAATGATGAAGCTTATATAAATTACTCTCTGTTATTTAAGAGCTTGACAGACCCAGTCCATGAACATTTCAAATATGTCTTTTGAATGCCAAGTCTTTTTTCTCCACTAGCAATAATGTGATTTTATAAATTAAATCCAGATGACCTGGTCTGAGCAGACTTTGGATTTCACTTATAAGTTGGATTCCAGTAGAGCAACTTGCTTCACACTTGTCTTTCCCATTCCCCAGTGATTTCATTCTGTCAGTCCACGTGGTGCTGATTGTAAGATTCTTGTCAAGGATGCAACATCACATCGATCGCATCCATTGTTTGAGTGTTACTGGTGCAGATTGATGCTCAAAGTGGCATCAGTGATGCAAATGCCCATTTTTGGGATGGGTTTCCCTGGGAGCTGACAGGCAAGGATTTTGATGTGGCCACTGTTTGGATTGCAGAGCTGGTGGATCATGATAGCAATCCTACAAAGCAGAACTCTGGTTTGGCAGCAGCGGTGCCATTTTGAAGCTCAGTAGTCCAATTAATGCAGCAACAGATAGCTGAAAAACACTCCTCACCAGTGTAATTGAGAATGAGCATTAACCAGATACAAGTCATTTGCTGGTTAAATTCTTCTGGGTGCTGCTTTGATCCAACAACCATTTGGTGCCTCTAACACTTGAAAGTTGCTAAAGCCCAATGGGAGGCGTTAAAGGAGTTTTTTTGCTGCTTCAATGCTTCTGCAAAGACCAATTGCTCTCAGTCCAATGGGTAGACTAATCAGCATTCCTCTCAGAGTGCAGGAAAAGTCAGATATTGAACAGATGGGCATGCGGAATAGGTCAAACTGTTGGAAGTGAGAAAAGAAAGAGAAATGAGAGTGAGTGAGAGAGAGGATGGTTCTTGGCAGGGAGCTATCTCTACCCAGTATGTTCATGGAGCAATTCTCAGCCCTGGACATTAGTAAGGAAATTGTCTGCATTTTCTGCACTTCAGGAAGAGCATCCTCACTGAAATCTGTCACCCACTGCAGCCATAACTGCACCTCAGAATAGGGCAGTGACCACATTACCACTGGCTGTGAAGTTTACCCTTGGTAACTGGTAATTGCAGCATTTCACCAACCACTGTTCTAGCAGGGTAGGCACAGATCCTCTCAACTCAGCGAGGGCCAACAACATTTCACATGTGGAGAGAAAGAACCAGGCAGCGCGAACATGGAGCTGTGTGAGGATCGCAGTGTGCCCAGGCTGCAAGCATCCATTGATTGCAATTGTGAGGCTTTGCCAGCTCTGCATTCCAACTCTGACCATGATTGGGATCCACTTCCTCAACAGCCACGTAGTAGTAAACAGAGGCAGAGACTTGTGCAGGGCAATGCCCCAAGACATTCATTCATTGGCAGTCTGCTGTGCCTGGTGCATTCAAATCACCTCAACAAATCAACGCTGTGGCCCTTGGTCATCATGGCTCTCTGCTGACCATGTGGCTCCTGGCTCTACCCATGTGATCACGTGTAGGGAACTGATAATGAAATCCCCTGTTGCCATGCAAAATGTGCTACAGCTACCATTGACAAGATGAAATAATACTTCTGTTATCTGCGTTACTCTGGACAAGCCCTGCAGCATTCGGCAAAGTGGCTGATAAGCTATGTTCTCCCCCTGCCTTCTGAGCACATGGCTGAATAGTTTCTCCTCTCCATCTCCTCCACCAAGGGTTCCAGTGCAGCATTCAAAAGAATTGAAGCCCACCGTCTCCCTTAATGTACCAATTTCAGTTTGTGAACTGAGGATTACTTAGCCAGCTCTTACAAACAACCACATGCACCTGCCCTTTAAACTAGAAGACAGGCTTTAATAAAGGGAGACTAGATTGAACACTTACCATATTGACCACTTTCTGAAGCTTCTAGCTGTTTAATAATAAAGATGGCACTAGCTGAGCTTTGCAGCTGTACAAAGTAATGGTATTTGGCTTGTTGCCTATGGTAAACTGAATGGACATAGTATAGCTACACATTGCAATTTCTGTGTCTGTTGATAGTTGCTATCTATTTAGCTTCAATGCAATTTTATAATGAAAGTGCCTGTCTCAATTATTTTTAAATTAAAAGTAGCATGACCTGTCATGAACAACTTTGGGAGAGTAATGAGTGATGCAGAACTCCAGCCAGTTGTTTCCTATATGTGGTGGATTTTGTTCAGAAAAACATATCAATGCTTTTTATTTCAGCCAATAAATGTCTGCTGGACTGATGGCCCTCACATCTTCTTGCCCCAGCTGTATTCCTTGGTTCAAGCTTAAAGATTAACATTATTGATATGAGCTGCAGCCCACAGCCTGAGCTTAAATGGTGAACCTTTGCAAGGTGCTGCTTTCGCTGACATAGGGACTGGAACACATACCTCTGAATGTTATTATAATTGATATTAGTGACTGTTTCCAATCTTTTCTGTGCAAGATGCTAAATGACCTTTGTGACATCACACTGCCCAGTGTCTTGTTAGAGATAATCTACTGCGGATTCTGAGAAACTATCTAATTTGGTTGGAAGCTCTTGCACAGGTCAAGGGCTGGGTCATGAAAATATGGGGCCAATGATCATTCTAGATGAGAAGTTGTATCAGACAGCAGTAGAATCATGGTGGGAAAATCTAACATAACTCACCCTTCAGGATACTGCCAGGAAAAATGCCTCTCTTGTTTTAAACCCAGCCTTCTTTAATTCTTCTCAGTAGTTAGTCAGGGGGTTAACATTGTACAGGACTTAAAGCAGTGTATCACCCTATTCCAGAGTCTCACACTCAGCAGGTCAGGTTAAGACCATGCCCTCCACCCACCAGCACCTACCTGACATACTGCTCAGCACCCCCTCCAGTGTTGCACAGTGAGGCAGCAGAAAGCCTGATTGCTCCCAAATGCAAATAACCGTCAACCAGTAACATTTTTACCCAGGGTCCATTCACAACACACATTTGTTGCTACCACTTAGCAAATTTTCAGTGAAGCAAATGTTTAAAAAAATGTCATCTTCCTTTATCATTTCCCGCAGAGCAGCGTGATCAATGCAAGACACCAGCCAGTTTGTTTATCAAACACTTCCAAGATTTAGGTAAAATAATTTCAATCTTTTTCAGCCAGGCTGGCATTTAGCTATTGTTCTGGATGCTCCTGAAGTCAGGGACATGGTTTGACCTTTTGAGGGTGATTGCCTCACACCCCTTGGGTTTGACACCACACTGAATGCATGATCTGGCTTTATAAGAAGGATCGTTCAGTTGTGGTCTAAGTAGTTATACGTGTCTGTGTACAGGGAATTGTGATCGCTCTGAGAGATTTTGTTTGACTTACAGTATTATATTGTCTTTCAGGTTAGAGGTATGAATACACAACAATGGAGAGATGTGGAAGGTTTCTAGGCCATGTAAGGAAAGAAGTTACACTGGTAGCAGATTTTGTTTGGAAAATTACAATACATTGAAGCAATTAAGATTGATGATAGCATTATTTCATGGATCTGGACAGTTAGAATTACACCGTGATTAAAAAAAAGAGTAACACGCAAACCTATCAAAGCAATCTTTAATCTACTGAAAGTAGATTGCCTCAGTCTAAAAACTATATTTTCTGAATGTTTTAAGTTTCATTAAAAATCAAAAGGATTGAAATCAGGCAAACTGTTTATTTTTCACACTGTTATGGTAATCAGAGAACTATATACTTGGGAACTTTCGAGAAGACAAACTCAAAATGTATTGCTCTAAGAGCCCAGTACATTTATTACACATTATATAGAGAGATTTGTGGTTGAGGCTAAGCTGACCTTGAAATCATTGCAAAAATTATTGTGAGAATAGAGGTTAAAAGAACGAGAGGTCAGACATGGCCAAGATAGTTATGAGAAAAATGATGGAGGACAAACACTTCTGGTGGAACTCTGGCAGTGAACACGCATTAGCTGACAAGTACAGGGTTAAATATTTTAATTTCACATGGTATATGAAAACTAGAATAAATCTGCCTTCTAATAATGTTCTTTAGTCTTGCTGGTGATCAACTGAAGTCAAGAGAACAATACTGAGTTTCAACTTAGCCACCATCTGACAGTCGAGCAAGATCCAAATGAAGGCCTCAAATAAAAACAGAAGCTCAGCAGGTCTGGCAAAATCTGTGGAGAGAGTCCAATATGACTTTCTTCTTCAGAAGTGAATGAAGGCCTGCTGGTACATATAAAAGCAAATTTGCTAAGGGCCACACTTGATGTAGAGGTCATCCTGGATCATATGTGATCACTGGGCTGTTTTGAGAGCACCACCACTGAGTTCTGGGAAGGTTACAGCTCTGCTCGCATTGTCTGTTCCTGAAAAGGAACTGCACATTGTAATGACGATAGTTAATGAGGCTGCTTCATAACTCATTTTATACATTTGTTTGTTTCTAGGAAAAAGCAATCCAGAAACCACATTGTTTCTGGTTATCTTTGTCTGTAACATATTGTGACTTCCAATCACAAAGTGGATTCTGCCAAGCTAAACATTTATTCAAAGTGTTGATTTAGAAGTCAAACCTTAAAATGCAGGCTATATAAAGTTTCCAGACTAATTTAAAAGCATCTGATGGCATCCCATGGACATTATATTGCAATGACACACAGTTTCTGTATTCCCGTTAGTTTGTACAATTCAATAAGATGACACACTAGGGAAGGCTTACAATCGGCAGCACTTCCTTAAGTACCTCCATATGAATTCTGAGCTGAAACATGCCAGAATAGCCACTGGGAATTAGTATGTGTCAAGAATAATTCTGTATTCAAGCCACCCACCATTACTCACAAATTCTGGCTTCATCATTGATCAGAACTTACTTCTTTCCCTCATTCTGGGCTGGGCACAGTCTCCAGAAATAGAAGTATAGTATTTAAAGCTTAACATATCAGTAATGTTCCTTAAAAAAAGTGCATTTTGTCAAAGTTTTTCATCCTGAACTCATCAGGATGGTTCACAAGAATAACAATTCAAAGAGAAAGCCAGCATTTATACTACATGAGTGGAAAGTGCTAATTGGTAGAGGTGTTGCCAAGAAACCATTTCATGCACCAATTAATGATAACTGGCAGTTAATTGCCAGTATCACCCTCCCTGTTTAAAACGTAAACAAAGCCTGACAGTTAATTATCACTCATTACTAATTTGTGCATTATTTATGGAAATGGCCTTACCAATCAGAGTCTACTTCCCAACCAATCTTCCATCTCATGCAGTGTTAATTTTTATTTTGTCTTTGAATTGTTATTCTTGAAAATTGTCCTAATGAATGCAAGACTAATAGCTTCAATAAAATGTGGGGTTAGTAAGAACTGCCGACGCTGGAGTCTGAGATAACACAGTGTGGAGCTGGAGGAACATAGCAGGCCAGGTAGCATCAGAGGATCAGGAAAGCTGACGTTTTGGGTCGGCTTCAGAAAATGGCCCCTTCTGAAGAAGGTTCCTGACCCAAAACGTCAGCTTTCCTGCTCCTCTG